CTCACCAGCTTATGCTCGTTCCCTTTTGCTTATAAGTCTCTGTTCTCCCCAACACACACATACGTGCGCATCCACACATAGTATCCACCATGCTGAAGGACTACAATAACACACGTTCAACAAAATGTTTGAACTTAACATTTAACACATTTGCCATCCAAATGTTAACAGTGCCAACCCAACAATACTCAAGAAAGACCAACAATAGATAATATTACATCCTGCCAATTGGCTTGCCAGATGATTCTGTCCTCAACCCGCATTAAATCATATTTTTAACTTGCCTAAAGAAGTAAACTGCTATATCATGTACAGAAGACAGGCACAGAATATCTAATTATATTCAGAAAGATGCATATAACAACTAAGCCCATAAACATCGAGTTGCGTTTAAAATTAGAGCTGGTATGAAGGAAGGAAGAACCAGTCAAAACTCAGATGGTAAGCCTCTCCTCCTCAGTCTTCAAATCATTACTTCGATTTTTTTTTTCCTGCCTTGAAAGGAAAACAAGAGAAGTCACTTTAATCTTAGGCAGGCTCACAAACTTTCCTCCGTGTTAAAGGAAAGTAGAGAAAACATGGCAGCCCCAACTCATACAAGAGTGGGTATGGACATGAACACAGAGGAGCAGAGAACAAGCCAATCACATTAGCTTAGGTGTCCTTAGTACTAGTTCTAAGGAAATAAGAAGAAGGAAAATGACTTCATCACATACTTAGCCACACTGATGTAGTTTTGAAGTTCAAGGGATTCGTAAAGGCTGCAGGAAAATGAGCAATGTGCAATCCATAAGATAAAAAGGCAGGCATTTCAGAAGGCTTGCTAGCTGCTTTAATTAAGAGAACTAGATACTGCACTCTCTTCCACTCATGTTATTAATGAGCTTTAAGGAAATAACTAGAATCTTAAGTTCCTTTGCAAGTAAGTTGAATGTCATCTAATCATATGACAAATATTGTTTCCAATTGCTTTCTAACACCTATATCAAAGTCACTCTATAGCCAAGCTCGTGCGCTCCCTGAGTCTGACAACTGTAGTACTGACTTTCACGGTAAACGTGCCCACAGCGTTTATCTGTTTATTATTAACATAGTCTTTGTTAAAAGCCCAAGCTGCTGATTTCAGCTGTCAACTCTCAGCCACACCCAGCGTGCAGAAGACTGTCCTGCTTCAAGGCAGGGTTCTAGGCCATAGCCTGCCTCAGGCACACCTCCCCGTGCAGGCTGCGGACTCCTCACAGTGACCTTTGAATTTGCTGGGATGCCAAACCATCCAGGCATTCTCCAAGACTGACTGGCTCCACACAGACATTCCATACCGAAGGCTCCTTACTCAGAGACCAAACCTGTGACCAAATCACAGGTAATCTTCACTCACTCAAAGCCTTACCTCAAATCTTAGCAAGAAGACACAAATCCACCTAATGTTTAAACAAAAACCAGCCTGGCTTTTACGAAGGCAGATTTACCTTCATCTATCATGAGACAAGGGGGACAGGACATACTCACATTAAAACATTCTACCAGACTCATACTACATTGTAAACAGATCAGATAAAACACAGGAAGCGACTGCACTGTGAGGATGTCAATCATGTTTTTAAATGGGTTTCTGAGCCCTCATGAAGTTGAAAATAAGAAGATGCAGAATACTAAAGAAGGCATTCTCGAGCTGCACATTTTGCACAGTGTGGGTGTGTGCGTACGGGGTGGAGAGAAAAAGAAAAAAAAGAAGGCATTCTCAGTTCCAGCAACAAGAATCAACAAGTACGATGGACATGGTGGTGTAGTGCTGGGGTGAGCATTCCCAACGCTGAGGCAAAGGGGATCACTGAAAGTACCAGGCCAGCCTGGCCTACGTGGCAGGATGCCTTCTCGAGAAACTGAAATTGTAATAAAAAAAGAATACGTAGATATTTTTGAGGAGGCAGAATTAACAGCTTAACAGTAACAAGCAACTGCTTTTTGAGTGCCCTTTCCCTGTGTGCCGCCTTTCAGATATGTGTTCCCCATGTCTCTCCACTGTTCTCAATATACATATATATTCATACAACCCGAATTCGAAGCTTATCGTCAGCAGTAAGGGAGGTATTGTTTTAACTGATTTATATTACCTTCTTGCCTTCAGGGTAATATAAAGATCACTCAATCACCAAACTCAGGTGCTTTCCTATGACAGCAACTTTGAGATAGATGGATTAGGGCTGGAGAGATGGCTCAGCAGTTAAAAGCACTGACTATTCTTCCAGAGGACTCAGGTTCAATTCCCAGGACCCACAGGTGGCTCACAACCACCTGTGACTCCAGTTGCAGGGGATCCAGTGCCCTCTTCTGGCCTGCATGGGTACTGCACACACATGGTACAGAGCCATGCTCACTCAAAACAGTAACAGATGTTTAATTTCAAACAAACAAAAACCAAGGTTGGCCGGAAACTGGATAAGCCAGGGAGCTAGTAGGAAACCAAATAATTTTCTGCTAAAAACCCACAGCAATTAAATGGCTCCTAACAACATTCTGCTATACCCACAGATTAGTATCTTGCTCAGCCTTCTTTAGAGATGCTTTCTTCTACAGTAGCTCCATGGCCAGCCGCGGATGCCCAACACAAAACAAACAACACTGGTTTGGAAGGGTTTTTGTCTTGTTTTGTTTTGTTTGGGGGGCTTGTTGTTGTTTTGGTCTCAAATGCTTCATCTGGGTTTTTTTTTTTTTTTTTAACTTTACAGCTCTTGTGCTTATTTGTTATGGTCTCAAATTTTGTTTTTGTTGGTTTTCTGTGTGTGAGATTATGTACATTTCTTACACTTTTTCTTTGGCTCTGTCTCTCTCATGTTTTGTCTTATTCTAGTTTGCTTGGTTTTATTTTAGTATTATTTTTTTTTAGAGACCACTTTGTATTCTAATAAGAGAGAAAAAGAAAGGGTGTGGATTCGGGTGGGTGGGAAATGGGGAGGATCTGGGAAAGAATAGTGAGAATATATTGTATAAAAAATATTTTCAATAAATAAATGGTAAAAAAAAAGTCAAGGTTATCACCAAAAATAAAGTTATAAAATAAAAATAAGACAGTAAAATGGCATGTAATTAAACATCATGAAACAACAAACAAAAGACAGAATAAAATTAATACATAATTGATGCTTTTATCCCCACAAAATCAAGTAATATTTAAGAAGTAAACACCAGTAGTGATTGTGGTTCAGTGAAAGATCATCTGCTCGACACTGAGAAAAAAATGTTGACCTAAAACTTAAGAGCAACAAACACAGTCTATGTGCCATCTTGAGTTTTCCATCAAAGATGCGAATACTGCTGACAGACACGTCTCAGTCATGATAATCACTTAGAAACTTAGCACAGAGGTAGCACCTCTGTTGTTGTTAAGATATAATTTTACTCCTAAGAAAAGCAGAATGTGGATGTGGTGTTCAGACAAATGCCTGACTTCGACCATCTCCACTCTGAAGTGGCCAGTTCGAGTTCCCGAGGGCCAGCTGGACAGCCTTCGTTTGTGTTGAGTATATTTCTCTTCCTCTCCCACCTGACGGCATTTGCGCGTTCCCCCGTTTATTAGCCCTTCTACCAGAGGACAAGTGAGACACAAGAGAAGGTGAAACTCAAACTAGTCAGTTTTACTCCTTATTAGCAACTCTGTTGACAAAGAATGAAAGTGAGAAGAAAGGAGAAAAAAACAGCTGGGATCACAAGCGGGAAGTAAGTCTAAGCTGGAAGACTGAAGTGTGGATCCTTAGAACTACATAGAACAACCTGAGTGTGCCCACACAAGCCTGGAGGCCTGGCACCAGATGGCCGAGGGACAGAGATCGGGAGATCCCGAGTTCAAGACTGGTCAGTGAATTCCAAGTGCACCAAGGGTCTCCTCAGAAGATAGGTGACAGAGTGGCTGACCTCTAACCCTCTCCCCGCTCCCAAATTAGAAACTGGTATTAAAGATTCATGTCTTTCTTCATGACTGCATTTCTGTCGTGTGTGCACACGATGAGTAATTCAAAGAGCAGAACAGCTCACACCCCCAGGATTATCAGCATAGGTATTCTTGGTCTCCGCCACTTTTGGCCATGAACCAATAGATACTTTTCTCCTGAATGTGTTTATGATGAACGCATTGTAATTTTTCCCTGATCTGCACAACCTCTGGCACTGGGAAGGATAACAAAGATTTAAGGGTTTGGAGCAAGAAGAGAGAAAAAAAAAAAAATTCAAAATAGTCTTAAATTTGGAAAACTGATTCAACAGGAAAGAACTCATGAGGAGGGCCAGTAAAAGCCAAGGCTTTAACGTCACATCATCTCATTCTCTACACAAGAACCACATGACCACAAATCACCAATCAGCTTTTGTGGGGCTCACTGCCGGTTCTGACCTAAACATCCATCCAGACATCGCTATGAGGCGAGAGCTCGTTGGCAACAATAGTTCTGGATGGGACATGAGAATCTCCATTTGCCCCAGTTCCACTGAACCCAGTCCATGCAGCCTAACTTCAAAGGCAAATCAATTTGCCACTCCTGGCTTTGAAATGACTGAGAGTTCTGCCTTTTGAGAACTTCAGTCCATGGGTCCAGTATGGTGCAGACACACAAAGCCCTACGGCAATAGTGCCCTGTGCCTTTAATCCAGACGCATTAACACCGATCGGCTCCATCAGCTCCTCACATCAAAGGTCTGCTTTAATTTCAGTTCCATTTGTCTCAGGGTTATGTAACCTCACAGGAGGTCACACAAGTCTCCCAAAAAAGAAATTTAAGCTGGCTTCAGAATAAAAAAAGAACTGCGCATAACAAAAACAAACACAAAACAGAAACTTGCATTTTCCTCCCTGACCAGAAAGCATCACCCTGTTAATCTAAAACATTACAATCTTAGGGGAGAAAGAAATCAGAGCAGAGACTAAAACACTGCAGCCTGCCCAGAGGGCCTATGACATGCTATGCTGTCAACATGCCACCAAGCAGAAAACCCCATCAGCATCTTACCATCTTCCAGCTCAAGACAGAGATTGTACACGGCCACCGGTCTCTTCGTCCTCTGCCCTTGTCTCTTGGACTGCCGTGGTGGAGCATTTGGGGGCGATGTGGACAGGCAGGTGGGCTCTGGGAATGTGGTATCAGGCGAGGTCCGAAAAATCTGTCATTGGATATAAAGCAAGACAAGGGGTGTCCATGAGTGAAACCTGTCAGAATCTGACCACATTAGACTTAGGCTTCATTCATGAGAGGCCAGAGCCAAAATCCAGCCCTCTGAATTTGGCATCAGAAAACATCGTTTAACATAAAATTTCAGAGTAAAGCATCTCACTAAAATTAAAACACTGCCAAATCATTATGTTTCAAGTAAGTTTTTTTTTTTCCTTAAAGTTAAACAAATACAATGGTTTTTCCTCATGGGGTAGACAAAATTGTGTTTCTTCATCCCCAAAGAAAGGTAGCCAGGATGTACTTAAAGTACTAAGTACTGTTTAAGTTTCACAAAGGTTTATTTTTATTTTTTATTATTTATTTATTGGATTTTCCAGAGAGGGTTTCTCTGTATTACAGGCCAGGCTGGACTAGAACTCATAGAGATCCACCTGGCTCTGCCTCCCTGAGTGCTGGGATTGCAGGTGTGCACCACAGTGCCTGGCTGAGGGTTATTTTTATGGCAAAATGCTGGGCTTGATTTTTTTTCTTCCAACTACATAAACAAAAGCATCCATTTACAAACATTTTTTTACACATTTAAAAATAGCCTGTGCTTATGAAATTACCTGTCTGGATTCTTATTTACATTCTTCATAATTTTCTCATTTAATGTTTTATAGGTTTCATCAATTTCCAACCCCTCTTAATAATCTCCTCTTCCATTTCTGAAACCCAGAACATTACCACCTTGATTTACCCACAGTGTCATTCATATATCAGAAATAATACCATTAGTTCAAATGTGCTGCTTCCTTGCTCAGCAATTTGTTTTCCTTTGGACAAAGTAATATGTATGGCATAAAGAGAGGCACATCACACTGCACTGAGTTATCACAGAGTGTCCCTGGCCACCAAGGGCTAAGGCTGAAGGCCGCCCTCCAACACAAGCGCCTCCCAGCCTTCAGGAAGCCATGAAATAAAACACTGAAGCCATCAGCCTGACAGACTTACAACCTACAGGCAACTGACACACTCCTCAGGTGGAGACAAGAAACAAGCTCCTAGCTTTAAGAGAACACAAATGTAAACTCAAAATAAAAGGCACTGTTATAATCACTACTTATTCATCTGAGTAGAATCAAGCACAGGACTTGTGTGGCGAGGGATGGTATCTCTCCCATGTGTGTCCACACTGAAAAACTGACAAGGAAAGGCTTTCAGTTGAATACCCTAGAAAGCCTCACCTAAAAATTGTCATCCACCAATAAACAAGCTAATTTGAGTTTGTTTGCTTTCTAGTGTTACACTGCCCTCTCATGTATAAACAGAATAAGAAGTAATTTAAATCGCCGTGGACAAGTATTTGCTAGTGAAAATCCTGTCTGCAATTGTACCCGCTAACCTGCTAATGGGGTCTTTCCACAGAACCTGGGCTCTCCAGGGAAAGTGACAAACATCAAACTACAGACGTGCCTTGAAAATCCTCAGCTGCCCAGCCTGCTGGCCCCAACTGCTTTACTGCCATTGTCACTGTTCAAGTTTTTAAAAGGATGTGGCCTATGGGAACAGAAACAGTTCGGTGGAAAAGAACAGGACAACAGTGATGGAGAGATGATGGGAAGCATAACCCCACTCAAGGAGAACAGCACTGTGACAAATGTCTGTACGCTCAATTTCTGCCAACATGGCAGGTGCCTTTGGGGTGTGAGGCAGAATAGGAAAGCAAGCACCACACTGGGGCAGGACACGCCAGGCACCCATAAGGAACGTCAGGCCCCAAGGACTGGCAGTAGGTGGTGATAACTTTAGGGCAGGCTCCCGAAAGAGCACACAGACAGCATCCTTGCAACCTCTTCCTCCTCTTCACTTGAGGGCGAGACGTCTGGAGAAGGCTATGGGGATGGAGCTGTGGCAGCTGCCATGTATGCAGAGCCAGACCACCGTGCCTCTGCCATTCCCTGAAGACTGAACTGTCCCCCCAGAACTTCAGTTCAGAGCCACGAGCCGGGGTCAAACAATGGCTTGTCCCAGAAGACTTCAGGCACTGAAGAGTTTTCACCAGAAGATGTACCTTCAAGTTGTCTTGTTTTCTTTGGTTTGCATTTCAATGTTCCCAGGTCATTCTTTATGTAGCCAAAGCAAAGAAATACTGATCTGAAAAGTCACCCCACAGTTTAAGACAACTGAGGGCAAAAGCAGAACACCAAAACAAATGTTTCAGAAAAAAATGGCACTAGACATGCACACCAATTCCTTGGACCACACCCCATCCCATTTACGCATATGATGGCTCAGTGATCCCAGCTACCAACCACTGCCTGAATAAATTCCTTGAGGAACTGGCATCCAGAAAGCTGAATCACCCTCCACACTTGTACAGTTACCAAGCCTAGATGTTCATTAGAGACAGCACTGCCGTGGCTCTGGGACCCCACTGGCTATGGAAGCTGAGCTTGACGCCTGGGGTTGACATTAGTGCACTAAGAGAGGCACCACCCGGCACAGCAGGGGGTTCACAGGACTAGATAAGACGGCGCCAACCTACACATGTGATATGGTGCATAAACCATGGACGTGAGTTCAAACTTCCACCACTGTGTCCAACCGCTGTTTGCACAAGGCAGCGTCCATTTCCCACCACGTCAAATGCTCAGAGCTGGTGCTCCGAGCAGCTATTCCACGTCTTCTACGGAACGGCACCAAGAAAGGAGCTGAAAGGGCAGTTACACATGGGCTGTGTTTTCAAGATTCTCAAGAAACTCAAAACCAAACAATTGTGGTGTTTTTTTTTTTTCTTAATGTGTTTCTTCATATCTCTAATTCAGCACTAAAATTTTAAATTTAAATCACTTCCCGCTGTTTAGACAAGGGACTCCTGTGGCGCATGGATGTGGCCCACCAGTGACTCTGCCCCTTCCAGACACATTCACCTTGTCTCCCAATCTACTAGCATCCATTCTACGGTCTTTCCTTCCCCTCTGAATGTGCAGGAATGGTTTTGAATTGCACTCCTTTTGAGTCTGGAAGAAGAAATCAGTGAAGCCTTTTATGTTAAAGTGTCGAGCTGTTTCTGACCCCTCGAATGCTCTGCTCCTCTTGTTTTGCTCTATGCTACAAAACATCATTCTTGAGCCAGTGCACTCTTTCCCCTTACCACATTAACTTGCTCCCCATTACTTTCGATGCCCTCATTTAGCATCTTACCTCCTGTTGCCTTTTTTTTTGAGGATTGATCAAATTTACTCAAAACTTCCTCTTTGGGGTTAAAAACTTCTTTGCACACCTCCATATTTACAAAATAAGAAAAATTCAAGACCAAACAATCCTAACACTAAAACAAAGCTGGAAGCAATCACATCCTCAGGCCTCTGCACAGCGCTAGCACAAACAGAGGTCTGTCACTGCTGTTCGCAGCCACAGGCTCCTCAGATGCAACGAAGCAGATGCTTCTACCACGAAGCTCAGCCACGAGCACACACGGCTCTGCAAATTCTTCATGCCATGCCACCAGGGGCCAGGCTGGACATGACTCCATCACTTCTGCCGGAAGACAAGGATTGTCTCTGAAATTTCTGCGTCAGCACCCAATTCAAACCAGCAGAATCTGAATGAGGGTAAAATCATTTGTCTTCAGAAAGGTGCTCCTGCAGGAGCCCAGCGGTTTTCACTATGGAAGAACTGTGGATTGCATCCATACAATTCTGGCGGCTCCAGCAGTAAGTACAATTATTTAGTGCATGCAACATGCCTGACATTATACTGTTTCACATACAAAGTTTTTGGACCAGATTTCCTGGCTCCAGAATACAAGTCTCGGCCACTGAACTCTAGTATTCTAGTAAGTCCCATTTATCCGATGTCATCCACAGTGATGTGCTAGCCTACACATGGTGTCTCTCTGTAAGCAGAGATTTCCAGAAGACAGCAGCAAGGCAAGCCAACACATTCTCTCTCCCAAGTAAACTTCCTACATGGGAAGCGGGGAGAAAGGGCAAATACTGAATCTTCCTAAAGTGCATAATTACCCCCAAATGTCTCTTTCAGCTTCAGTGTCTGCAGTATGTTGGCAAAACACATCACCATGGGGTTGTGCAACTAAGGTGGCCCTGAGGAAACCCAGGCACCCACTGATGGCTGCCTTTTGGCTTATTCCCCTGTGCACTACAAGTGACACTGAAAACTGGTGTTCAGCTGTCTGACCTTAAGCTAGCCCTGCCCCGTGGCTACATGTCCGTCTATTCTAGGGCACTGAACTAGAACTGATAGTGAGGACTGATAGGCAAACACTAGTTGGGTTCAGCCTCGAGGATTTTAAGGTTCTGGTTCATTGAAACTCCAAATCTCAGTGCTGAGCACTGTCCTTGCCATCTCTTACACCACCCTCTCTGCACAGCTGAGCAAACCGAGGTCCCCAAGGTTGAAATTTTGCTCCTGTTCCCTTCACTCAACAATGCCAGAACTTAGGCCTTACCCCCAGACAAGAGCCTCAGAGTCAACTGCTATTTCGCATCCTAATGGTTCCAACCCTCTATCCCCAAAAAAGGGTGCTTTACACATGAACTAGTGACCTTCCACACAGTTGTCCCATATTCCAGAGTACAGTCAAAAGGAACAACGTATTTGGAGAAAACCGTCACACACATAGTGACCATACAAAGGCTTTATCTTGCCATTCGCTATTCTCTAAGATGCAGTGTGCTCACTAGCTGCATGGCATTTATACCAGCCTACGGATTATAACTAATGGGAAGACAACGTAAAGTACAGGAGGGTTCTGAAGGCTATACGGAAACACTGTGCTGTTTTATATCGGCGATGGTACCCTAGAACCAATCTCAGTGGCCACCAAGGCACAACACACTCCTCTTCTGGACAGATTCTGCCCAGCTGCTGCAACTCCTCAAAGAGCTCCTGGCTCTCATGTACCTCGTGAGGCCCCGGAGGGAGACAACAGGAGTGCGTTAAGGGTTTGGCTGCCACCGGTCAGGATAAAACCCCTTCTACTAT